GATAATTATGAGGGTTAGGTACTATTGAGGTTAGATGGAGGAAAAGAAGTATAAATGTAAGAATCATCAGCATATAATGACTAGAGAAAGAAAAGTTATTAATACGAGGTAGTTCAGAAGTATAGAGTATAACTAGAAGAGGGCCAAGGATAGAACCCTGAGGTACCCCGAAAGTAAGAGTAGAGGAGTTAGAAGTAGAATTATTGAGAACAACAGAAGAAAAACGATTACAGAGATAAGAAGAAAACCAAGATAGACAAGAATCAGTAATATTAAAAGAATGATGCAGCAGTCTCAAGAGAATAGTATGGTCAACAGTATCAAAAGCCGAGGAAAAGTCAAGAGCAAGAAGAAGAGTAAGATTACTATTGTCACTAGAGAGAAGGATATCATTGTGTATTTTAAGTAAAGAAGTTTCAGTACTGTGAGCAGGTCTGAAACCAGATTGAGATACAGGTAGCAAGGAGTTAAAGTTTAAATAGGATATATATGCATATAAATAATAATTTTAATTAATAAAATATTTTTTAATTAAATAAATTGTAGTGAAGGCATTTCCGTTTTCATCCGAATTTACTTCTTCTTGCACGATTTTATCTTATATATGCAAGAGTTGAGAAATTATGAAGAACTACTGAATGGTTAAATGACCACACAGTCCAGAAATCTGCAAAACTGCAAAGAAACTTCTGTCTCGAACAATCTCAGTCACATCCATGTATTATTATGTTGTAATAACAGCAACTGATCAAAATTGGGGTGAATTGTTCGTATCTATCATTTATTCATTCATTCATTCGTTCGTTCGTTCATTCATTCATTCATTCATTTATTCATTCATAAATTCATTCGTTCATTCGTTCATTCGTTCATTCATTCATTCATTCATCCATTCATTCATTCATTCATTCGATTAATACTAGCAGTTTATTTAACGACATTACTTGTGGTGTTTTCAATGAATTTTTCAAACTTTCACACACAGCCTACCCATCACATGCATAGAAGCAGTGTTGGGCGGTATCGCCAAGTTAGCTAACAAAAGGGAAAATCTATTTGCAGTCGAACTCGGTTACTTCAAGGCACTGCCAGGTGCGTTTTTTCACGGCTGTTTACCAGTTTTGAGATAATTTTATGTGAACGCACGAACTGAAGAACAATGAAAGAGATGTTTCACTTCACTGCACTAATGTCTAATAAAATAAATAATACCATTTCATAGAGACATTAAAATTATTCTTTGATTTTTATAATTTCTAAGCTAATGTTACGAATATTTTCAATAATTTCAGGCTCTGTGCTTACGAGCTCATGTCCATCAACCAGGTAAAAAAATTATCATTTTATCGGAAAATGGTGACAATTAAATGTGGAAACTGAAAGGAATCAATAGGAAATTAAATTAACCTCAAACAGTCGATGATTGAACTTTGATGTTTATAACGAAGGATCAGAATAAAAAATTAAGAAGAAGAATAAAACAAATACAATTAAAATGCAAATATTATAAACAGCGCACTACGCACACTCGCACATCAATTCTAGTCACGCGAATAAACTGGCAGACAGAAATATGAAAAAAAATATGTCTTATGAATAAATGAATGAATGAAGGGATGAATGAATGAATAAATAAATAAAATATGATACATTCATCATAAAACAAAGCAACTAAGGTGATACATTATAGTTCAAAGAACACGCCATCAATAAGATCCATCCATTTGTTAACCCACCCGCAAAATTATCCTGCCGATAAAAGATCATCCATCCATCCACCCACTCATCCATCCATCTAACCATCCATCATCTTCTAATACTTCTAGTCGCCAATACAATTATTCTTTCATTAACTCGTTCGTTTGATTCTTCGCTTTCCATATAAATTCACTGCTTACTTGTATTTGTGAACGATACTTCAATTATCTCTTATTTTTGCGCTCATAACGATCAGAATGATTGCTGATAGATTTTATTTAAGAAACGCAATATTATTTGCATATAACTTATGATTTGAGTTTTATTTTGTATTTCCTCTCAACCTAACCACTTCTCCATTTATTTATCTATCCAGTTATCTAACCATTTATTCATCCATCTGTTCATTCATTAATTCATCAGTCTATCCATTCATGTACTCATCCATTTATTTATCCATTAACCTATCATAATCTTGTTGGTCCTTGCAAGCTTGTTCAACTTCGTCGAACGGAAATATTTTAGCGGTGAGTAGTCGTGATGGCTGGTTAGCTGGTTGGTTGGTTGGTTGGTTGGCTGGCTGGTTGGTTGGTTGGATGGTTGGTTGGTTAGTTGGTTGGTTAGTTGGTTTCATGAACATTTTTTAAACGACTCTATGATTTCTCGAATGGATTTTAATATTGCAATGTTTGTCTATAATTTTAACGTCTGCGTTGTAGTGGTTTCCATCTTTCCAAGACTTTTAGTGTGTGTTGGCCCCAATGAAAATCACCAGATAAATAAACGTAGATATTTGTTTGAATTTATTTCTTATCAATCAGGAGACCAAAAATGAAAAAAGTTTAAAAGAAATAACTTTGCTTTATCTAAAAATCTATATAAACCAAACCTGCACTAAAGATGATGTTAAAAATCGAAATAAGGCCTACCTGCATGATGAATTTGGATAATAATTCTATTTTCAATAAATTGAACAATTTCCAAGAAAATTGAAAAGAAAGACACTTTAAATTGATTAATGCCAAAAATTCAGTATACATATATATATATATATATATTTATATTTATTTATTTTATTACCAACATATATATATATAGATATATATATATATTTTTTATTACCAACATATATATATATAGATATATATTTTTTTTATTACCAACATATATATATATATATATATATATATATATATATATATATTCACTAGCATCCGGTTTATCAAAGAGTTATTTTCAAAAAATGTTTAACGGTTTCTAAATGCATCAAGGGAGTAGCCCCTAAATATTTAACTGACAGAGTCATTCATAAAACAATGCCGCTGCTGATTCAAACATTGTGCTCTGACAATTTTAGTTTACTGTTTGTACCCGACTCAAACTTGGTTTTTGGTCGTAGGAATTTTTCCGTAATGGGTCCTGTTGAATGGAATGATTTGCCTAGGGATCTTCGTGTTGTTTAATTTGGTAGAAGGTTGAAGCGCTATCTTTTTTTCCAAGCTTACCCACACTAATGCTTTTTTTCCCTCAGTATGTACTGCAATAATTGTTAGCGCCTCTGAGATCTTTTTAAAACACACCAATAATATATATATATATATATATAATTGTAAATGTGTGTAACTTTTTATAATAGACAGTATGTGTATGTGTGTATGTATGACTGTGTGTTTTTGTGCATTTGTTTTTTGTTTGTTTGTGTGCGTGTTTGTAAGTGCGTGTGCGTGCCTGCGAGCTTTATGGTCTTCGGCTGCATATCCTTTCAAGTGTAAGAAAGTGATGGAACAGTGAAGATGATTACTGCGATGATATTGATGCTTACGATAACCAAACTTATGATGATTTGATGATAATGATAGGTAGCATCAATATGATGATGTTGATAGTGATAATGATGAAGATGTTGATGGTGGTGATGATAATGTTGTCCATTATTATTACTATTCACCACTTATAGAGCGCCAATTAAAATGTAAAATTTATCAAAAGCGCCCTCAAAATGCAAAAACAAAAACAATGCTAAGTTGAAAACAAATAAGCCTTCAACAGTCTTCTAAATGTCAACAGATTTAAACTAGGGTCCCGTAAACGTCTTGGGAGATTGTTCCACATCCTAGGAGCTAAAACAGCAAAATTTCTAAAACCTATTCATAACTTGCTCATCAGAACCGCCAGGAAGTTTGACTCATCAGATCGCAAACTGACATAATGAGGTGCTTTTCGTGCTTTTTTGTCTATCAAATATCTGGGTGCCAAGTTGTTGATGCATTTAAATATTGTTACACAGTTTTAAATAGAACACGATTTTTGATAGGCAACCAATGTAGTTGTTTTAAAATTGGCAAGATGTGATCGTATCTAAAGGTGCCAGACACAACTCTAGCCGTCGATGTTGATGGGGATATTGATGGTGATGGTGGTGTTGGTTTTAATGATCGTCGTAAAATCTCAACAGACCTTCATAAACGCGAATGAGAGCGGAGATGATAGTTAGTATAATAAGAACTAATGAGACCGATAATAAAGATTCAACGACGTACAATTGGAATCCTTCCCATTGATAAATTTAGAAGCAGAGGAATTGTAATAACTATTGATAATTAAACGACGGTTAACTATTCACATTAAACCAACAAAGAAATAACATCGTAGAGACACAGTATATAACATATATTTGGACATCTGGCCACATACACGACGTATCAATTCGAACACCGAAGATGATATAGGAATACAGAAAAAAGCTTTTTTGTTTTATCATGCATAAATGTTCTACCATGCGTAAAATAAGTTAAAAATTTGGTTTTGAACTGAAGAAACTTGACAATAATTAACGATCTACCCTTAGAAAAAAATTGAAAAATTAAACAGGAAGCTAACTAACGCGGAGCATGCTGGGATTTTCATCAATAATTGCGTTTCTGATAAATAAAAAAAATTTAAAAAATATATTATTAGAAATGATCAGACGAGCAAGACGATGTCAGTGGCGGGAGTGATGGATGGATTGCAAAGAGAAGGATAAAAATGTTCTAGTTCTAGTTTGGTAGCAAACAGATAGTGATGTCTGCAGAATAATGACGATATACGTTAATATACAAGAAAATGAGATAAAGATGAAGAAAGATAAAATAGTTGAAAACCTTGCTGCTCACCTCCCAGGACGAGTGCAAAGATAAAAAATATTTTAATGGTTATAAATTGTTCCTATCAGTAAAAGGCATAAGTCGATTTAACCACGGAGTTAATTAACTACTACTACTACTACTACTACTACTACTTTTACTACTACAACAACTAATACTACTACGATTACTACTACTACTACTACGACTACTACTACTACTACTAGTACTACTACCACTACCACCACACTACCACTACTACTACTACTACTACTACTACTACTACTACTACTACTACTACTACTACTACTACTACTACTACTACTACTACTACTACTGCAACAACAACAACAACTACTACTACAACTACTACTAATAATAATAACAATAATAATAGCAATTGTTTTCTATCCAGGTAATGAAATCTCTTTTTATTTGTTTGGTTGGTACTAAAAGGCGGGTAATGAGGAAGTGGGCTGAATTTGATGGAGCAGTGGTCATAGAGGAGGAGTGCCTGTAGCGATCATTGTCCTCGTGCTTTCAAATTGCTTCAACTACTACTTTTATTATTATTATTACCGTTATCATTGTTGTTGTTGGTGGTGTTGTTGTTGATGGTGTTTTTGGTGTTGTTGTTGTCATTGTTGTTGTTTTTGATAATGTTCCTGGTTTTGTTGTTATTATATTATCACATCAATGATGTCTTTTTATAGCTAGTGGTGGTAGTGGTAGTAGTAGTAGTAGGTATTATTATTATTATTATTATTATTATTATTATTATTAGTAGTAGTAGTAGTAGTAGTAGTAGTAGTAGTAGTAGTAGTAGTAGTAGTAGTAGTAGTAGTAGTAGTAGTAGTAGTAAGAGCGGTAGCATTACTTGCATTGGTATTATTTTTCTTCTTATTAGTAGTAGTAGTTGTAATACCCAACAAAATTGTTGCTAAAGAAAACTGAAAACTTACCACCAAAAAGCTGAATCAACTGGACATATCAAACCTCACATTTACTCCAAAGTTCATCGAAAAATAGTAAGAAAATGTTGATTAAGTACTTTAGAGCTAATAGATTTTTAATGGAGCTTCAACCTGGTTTTTGTTCTAGATGCTCAACTGAGACAACAATCATAATAGTTTTTCACGATGTCTTCTAATGGGTATGTAATTCCGGTAAGGTTTTCTTCGACTCAACTTGATGTCGGAACAGCTACTGGTCGATGAATTTGCATGCAGTAGTTTCGTCAAACGCGAGTAGGATGGCTCATGTTTGCTTTGAATCTGCTTCGACTAATAAATACTAATAAATTACAGCCCAGTAACAAATTGTTGTAGGCTCAGTCATTGCTTCCTTCCAACTGCTGAGAGGTCAACCCTGAAAGCCTGCTCTGTGTTTTCCAAACTAGTGCCATTGTGGTGGGTCGTTGAATTATCAAATTTGAAACGCCCCTCCAATGCAGATGATTAACAATTGTACATTTACTGTTGTGCGACTTCAAACCGAAACTCGAAGTTGAGGAAGGTTGATGATGGCATTTTTTGTGTAACTTAGGTTTTCATGCTGAATTTTTTTAACAGGCTTTTCAAAATGGCAATTGATTCAATAAAAAATATCTATGCATGGTTGCAGCTACCAAACTTGTGAAATTATATCAAAGATGAATGTCGGTGATTATTAGATCATATTGTAGAGTACTCATCGATGAATGTGTGTGTGTGTATGTGTTGGTGTGTGTGTGTGTTGGTGTGTGTGTGTGTGTGTATGTGTTGGTGTGAGTGTCTGTGAGAAGAGTGTGTGGTAGGTAGTGGTGCATATATTATGGTTCTATAACGTGTGACATAACTGATTGATTCATGGCATTATAATTTTATCATTTTTACAATTATTATTATGAAATTATGAA